TATATATAAATAAATGTGTGCATAACATATACACAAAGAATTATGTATAACAGAACATAAATATAAACAATTGTTTTAATTCTCATAAAATTTTCTTATTTTTTGTAACATTGTTTTCTTACACTGTGCAGCAAGAAATTAATGTCAGAATGAAAATTTGTATAATGTTCATATAAATTTTTTAAAAATCCAAACATTTCTATTGCATAAACATGTTTTTTTATAAATATACCTCTAAGCAAAAGATATTTTCAAATAAATTTTGTGCTTCAAAATTTCTGCAGGATAATTGTACTAACTCTGAGGAGAAAAGATGCGCTGAACAGTTGTTAAATAAATAAAAGTCATATATATGCAGTTACGGTATGTAATTACCGCAAGTTATATATGAAATATTTAATTCACGTAGTACCCAAATTATTTAAAGTATTTTATTGTCTTATAAACAAATTATATAATTAAAAATGATGAAATAACTGAATTTATTATTTAATATATTTTTGTGAAATCAATGCATGTAAAATATATATATATAGATAGAGCTAGTAAACGGTGTAAACCTTTAACTATGAAAATATGGACCGCTAGAGTTAACTTCACGCTTTAGCACTCACAAACTAAAAAGAACAATTGAAATTACCGCTTATAAGCGTAAGCGCTCACAGCGCATAAACATCCAAAGGAAACGCAGTTTATAGCTGCGTTCGGCATTGCAAATCAAAGACATCCGTTTGCTCTTTTACCTAGAAAATCTATACGTATACATGACGAATACTATAGATTTTCAAGGTGAAAGAGCAAACGGATGCCTCCGATTTGCAATGCCGAACGCAGCTTGTGTCTCTTGGTGGAAAACTACCTATAATGTTTGTTCTTTATAGCTGAACTGGCTGCACTAGTTTAAATTTATCTTTTTTCTTCCAACGTGGAGGAAAAAAGATGAACTCTGAACTAGTGCAGCCAGTTCAGCTATAAAGAACAGACCTATAGTCTCTGTTTACGTCTATGATAAAAATCAAGTACATCATATCTAAATATTCATGCATCATGACGTAAAATTGTGTTTGACAATTTAGCAGTATATGAAAATTAAATCGTAAAAATAGAAGATAAATATATAATGAGTTATACGATATTAAAATAGCTAATTACAATTTAATCTTAGATGTTTTAACTTATAGTTGTAGTGCGCGAATATCTAAGTACGATGAGTTTAAATATGAATGCATAAATAATGATGTATGATTTATACAGTCTTGCGATTTCGAAACAAAGTTATTAACCGTTATTGACATATTGAACAATTAAAATGGCCAATCCTTATAGTATTATGGAATATTATGCGGAACACGAAGGTTACAAGTGCGGATATTGCAAAAGTCCTAACACAAATTTCAGTCATGGTGAGTAAAAAGACAATTGTATATTTGTGTTATTTAAATGTGTAAGTACTTTGCTTTATGTTTTTTTAGATATTTTTATGTCATTCTAAAATTCAAAATGGACATGCTTCTTTTAATTGAAAATTGTATAAAAATTTTGAAACACCTATTAGATTTAACAATACCAAGCACTATTGTTTGTTGTCAGGCATGTGGGCGCATTCGTTAACAGTACAAGACTATCAAAGCTTAATAGACAGAGGATGGAGACGAAGTGGCTGCTATTGTTATAAACCTACAATGAGTCAAACCTGTTGTCCACTTTATACTATTAAGTAAGTAATATTTGTTTTGATTTAAATTGTGATTATTATGTAATGAAATAAAATATATTTGATCTAAGAAGCAGAATATGAAACATGTATATATAATTTTCAGATGTGAAGCACTAAACTTTAAAATATCAAAGTCACAGAAAAAAATTTTAAAACGTATGGTTAAATTTGTGAAAAATGAATTGACAAATGATAATGCTGAACATATAGATGCAGATCAACATGATAATATAGGTAAAATGTATAGAATTTTAAAGGATCTTGATACATAAAAATAATATTTATGATAAAACTATCTCTAACAGCCATTTTATATTTATTTGCATAGATATAAACAATGAAGAAGTAGTGAATCATGCAAAATATCTGGCAAAAGCACAAAAAAATACATCAGAAATCAATGTTTTATTTGTTGATAATGAACTCGGTGGAAGATTGTCTATTGATTCTGCAAAAGCCAAAAGTGAGAACACTAAAAAGTTCACTTCTGCATCAAATAGTAATCAGGAACAGCTAACAAATTCTGACAACAAGAACACTCTGCATGTTAGAAACGAAATTACCAATGCAGTGCCTTGTAAAAAAGCAAAGCTCTTACGTATAGAACGTAAGCAAAATAAGTTGTTAGCACAAGGTAAATCACAGACTGAAATCGAGAGCATCATGAAAGAAAAGAAGCAACAAAATTGTGTGAAGACTTTAGAAGAATTATTTGAGGAGGTGTACACTGGCTTGAGAAAGTTGGAGGTAATACTACATCAACAATTAAATTCTAAAACTATTGTTTATTTTACCAGATGTTTCCTGATCCCTGTTATAAAATAATGTTATTCTTAATTGTACACATCATTTCTGACATGGTTCGCTTTTCTCCAATTTTTATCATTAAAAGCGAATAAAACAAAAATTTACAAATGGCAATAAATATTTGCTAAATATGCTGGCTCTTTGAAAAACTAATTAGAAGTGGCAACGTATTTATGTTTCTATTACTACATTATATCACAAAATTTGTATGATTTTTCTATCATACATTTTTGATATTTTAGATTTTAAATTAAATGTATGAATTTACATGTATTTTATTACGATAGTTATTTCATTCTCTGGATAGATTTGTGTTAAGTTAACGATTTTTGTAAGATGAAACTGGTTCGAACTGCACCGATGAGTCCTGAATACCAAAAGATCTCAAAAAAGTCGTACGAAGTTTACAAAAAGTATCAGACCACAATACACGGAGTGCCGGCTGAGAAGGTCACAGAGCAACAATATACAAGATTTCTTGTTAAATCGCCTTTGCAGGTAACCTTATACGGTTATTCTATAGAATACCAATTATTCTATATCCTGTTGTCACATGTGCGTTATTTTAGATCTTTCAATATAAAACTGTTTAAGGCATACCTTTTGAAAAGAAAGATAGAATTCATAGATTTGACGCGAAACAACTTAGATTGCTGTAGCTGCAACAAGTTACGTAAAAAGGCTATGCGCTTTTGATTCAATCTTGTTTTTATTTGTTATCAGGAGTTAGATTAGCTCTACTCGAAATAATACAATTACGTACGTTGCCGTAAATCGATAAGCTGTTTTGATAACGGCCAGACAAATATAGAATATATAATATATGTATAAATGCAACTAATATCATGATTGGAGCAAAGTGGACCTTGTCTTCTAATTGATTAGGAAACCTGTGTACGTTATTATTATAATTGATGATGGTAATAGTATGTAATTTTTATGTCAGACTCTACTTATTAGTTAAACATTGCAAATTTTACATTCGCAAATGTTTATAAATTTGTTAGATGAAATTGGTGAAAGTGAGGTCGGAAGAATTTCTTAACACTTTCGATGCAAGCGCAAATCTCTATAAAAAATATCAAATGGCAATTCATGGCGATCTACCGGACCAATGCGATAAAAAGTCATTCTTTAACTTTCTTGTAAAGAGCCCCTTACAGGTACACTTTGTATAATCACTTTATATTTAATTACAAACGATGTGAGAAGTAGTTTTGAAAATCTCTTTATTCATTATGAGAAGAAGAATATTTTATATGAATTTGTTATACAATGTTTTGAAAGCGCAGAGTCTATAGTCTGCTTATTAAAGATACTATCAATATTTGTAAATAATTGTTATAAAGATAAAGCGTAATAGCACCTGAAGTAATGTGACATTTTAAAGCAATGGACACCCGACAGTGGGCCACTTCAAGGATACGGCTCTTTTCACGAGCAATATTGGTTAGATAATGAATTAATAGCGGTCGGCGTGATAGACATTCTGCCGTTCGGTATTTCGAGTGTATATTTCTTCTACGATCCGGCGTATAGTCAACTTTCTCTGGGAACCTTTAGGTTTGTATATATTGTTCTATAATGGAAATTGAAGTTTTGTTTACCATTTAGAATTGTGGTTAAATTTTCGAATGGCTATATAATTTGGAATAACGTGTTACTTTTAGCTCTTTGCGAGAGGTTTATTTAACGAGGCAGCTCAACAAAGTTGCGAATAATCTGAAATACTATTACATGGGTTTTTACATTCATACGTGTCCGAAGATGCGGTACAAGGCCAGAATGCGACCGTCGAAGCTTCTGTGTCCGGAGACGTATGTGTGGTGTGATATCGAATCCTGTCTCGCTAAATTAGATAAGGAAAAATATTGTCGTTTTAACGGTGATATTGATGCGATTGACGAAGATGGTATAGTTGACGTTCGTGAGGTATATATCTTCCAAAACTATTTTACATTCTTATCGCAAACACGATATTTACAATTCTTGGTGTTAGTAAAATTTAAGTTATACGATTTGTTAAGTTTTGATAAATTATTTCATTAAAGTTTTTATTATTTCACCACTAAAATGTCTTCTTTTTAGGTATTGGTTTTATATAAACAAATTGCGATGCCATATAAAAAATATAAAGCACAGCAGAAAACATGCCAGACAATGCGAGAGGAAAAGCACGAAGTAGAAGAGTATGCCAGTCTCGTTGGAATGCCTTGTGCGCGAAGGATGTTACTTTATCGTTATTCTAGTTAGAGAGTAATTATCCAGTTCGTAAAATACATGGATAATATTTAATAGTAATATTAAATATTTTAGTATTTAATTCACGATCTCGAAAACCTAGAAATTTTTTGGCTTTAAAGATTAATTGATGATTGATACTTATGTACAAAGAAATTGCCGAAAAATTGTTGCTTTTAAGGTAAGAATATTAGATAGCCATTAATTATGCAAACGGTTGAATCCTATTAATCAAGGTAATGTAAGGTATATTAATAAATTATGTATATAATTCGTTGTATACAAGCGACTTAGTAGAGAAAGGAAGAATTAATTTCCAAAGAATTAATTTTAAAAAAATTTTGTCATCTTAAATAATTTTTTAAGTGTTAAGATTTATATAATTAAATAATCTAATTAAGATAAAAAATGATTTATATATATATTTATTCAACAATATAATGATAGGTACAAACATATGAAAAAAAGTTCAATGCAACGACATTCTGAAGTTAAATAACGAATAAAATTGTACTACACTAACGAATGTGTGATATGCAGTCAAATTTTTTAACAATCTTAATTTTTCAGACTTTTTAAGTTCAAATTTTTTAGAATTTTTTTGAACTCGGTTCTAATTTTCTTATATTCTAATCTTTTAGAATGTTATAGAATGTTAAAAAATAAATTTTTTTAAACAATTTAAATTTTTTTAAACTTAAAAAAAACATCTCTAAAAGATTAGGATGCAAGAAAATAACTATTACAATCAACTTTAATAAAACCTTTTTTAAACACGTCATTATTTTTAGAAAGTTTTTTGGATATTTTATGTCAATTTCTTATGTCATTCAGAATAATATCTTCATCTTTATCTTGTCGCTTACGACGTTATTAGATTGAGAATTTTGTTGAGATTGCAGATTAAGTTTGTGTAGTATCGGTAGGTTCCTTTTTCGTTTGTCCAGCTTCCACATCCTCCCTTGGTCCATCGATTGGTCGAAGCTCATTCCAACTCTGTATATTACCGCTACCACCAAACAAAAATATGACCATACTTCCGATACACACCGCGGCGCCCATCCAAAAGAGTATTTGCCATCTATCGATCGGATTCTAGGACAAAGAAAAAAAAGTTGTGAGTTTATATTATATATATATATATATAAAATTTACATTTGAACATTTTACATGCGAGCAGCGTTCGCATTATATTTTTATGTTACTTGGGCTGAGTTCCACTTGGTGATCGCAACGCTCGTGAACATTATCTATCTTTCTTTAACTTTCGATGAAAAACAAAGATAAAATGATTCCACAAGCGTTGCGATCGCCAAGTGGAACGTACCTTTGGACATTTATTCGATATATTTTGAATTAACTTATTGAAATTTTTAGTTACATTGCCAGATATGACGCATAGTATATATAATTTGATTATATAAAAAGGATATGTGTAATTTGATACATAACATCTGAATCATTAACTTTATGAAAATATATACTGAGATATCAAAGTTAATTAAATTAATTCCATATATATTTTAACGTTTCAGGTTGTATATCGAAGATTCGATTTAAATCTTAGCGCGCGAAAAATTGCACGTAGATATATCGATTAATGTGTAGGATCCACAATTGCATTTGCGCTTAATAACACATATCTGTATAGTCGCTTCAAGATTCGAGGTAACATACATGAGGTAACATATGAAATTATGATAAATTATGAGCATTTCAGAGGATGATAATAAGCACTAGTCGCTCGATCTTGGTCGCATATTATATACAATTACAAGATGTAACTGAAATTGAAAACCCGAGAATGCCGACGAATATCTGCGATAAGCTGTGAATGTATAAGTAACAATGGTGCGACGAAAACATGCAAACAAACAAGCGAAACGTGTAATCAAAAAAGGAAGGAAGCACTTGAAAATTTTTTTGCACTTCGCAATTCTTGCATAATGCCGTACATGCGGCAATTTTTTTCGTCCTCGCTTTGCGTAGTCAAAATTCTCAAAAGGATTCGTCATTTGTGTTAACGGCGTTGTGATTAAGATTCATGAATAATATTTTTTACAAACGTTTCGGATAAACACAAGACACTTCATTCCGACAAATATATTTTATATACTCGTATATTGCATATCATTATGCAACATGAGCAAGATCGATAACTCGGAAGCGCATAAAAACTTAATAATTGGTTTTATGAAAAAGCATTACACATGAATTCACAAATTACATGGTTAAACAATTGATAATTATAAAGCGGGTAATACAGATATACAAACAAAACGCCAATTATATTATTTTATATAACTTAATTATATAAAATATCAGGGTTTTACGTGGATGAACATTTAATGTGTGATAATTTCTTGCAAAAAGGTAGTTGAATTAAAAAATTGCAAATCTAAATTTTTAAAATAGGAATTAGATTTCGAGTACTGACTTACTTTCTGTTGTTTTTATTCCTGTTTCCTCGTTTTAATTCATTGTGAACAGCAAGAAATTAAAAACGATGAATTCTTATCCCGATTATACATTTATATATTAATATTAATTAATTCAATATTATATAAATAAATTTTTTTATTCTTTTTGATTCTGCCATTTTTACAGATTTAAATTATTACAACGATAGCAATGATTCTTATTTGACTTCGGGAAAAATTAATATTTATTTTTCATTAAAGTAATCAATTTGCAGCAACTTACCCCATGTTTACCAGCTACTTCTTCGACTATTGGCGGAATGATCATACCAGAGATGGTACCGACCGTGTTCATGATGCCATAAAGGAAACCGGCAAAGTTCGGTGCGAGATCCTGATTGTTCGACAGATTGGAGATAAGCGCAGCGCCGTTAAAGCTCAGTGCGAAGAACAAAAAGACATTTGCGAGTACGAAGTCACAGCCAACGTAGCCGACCAATATCAAGAAGACACCCGGTATAAAATGTGCTAGAAAAATGAAATAATATTCGTCACATTTCTAACGTAAGTCTCTAATTTCGATGTGTACATTACCGGATATCACAATCTAGTTTCGAAATACGATTACTAATAATTTTGATAACGCAAACATAGTGAATATATGCATAATTTATCCTCAAATAAAGTCGATAACTTTTATCAAAATTTGTGAACTGTTTCTTGTTAAGAGATATGATACTCAAAGTTCTTATTATCGATATCTTTAGTTAGAAATTTAATATTCAAACTTCCCCACACAAATATTCACGTATATATAAAAAATACTTAAACATCTAAAAATATTTAAACATCTAGAGCTATATATTTTTTTTAATTTTGTGATACTTACAAAATATAGTTGCGAGCTTCCGTAGAAGAGTGACGCTGATAATCTGTTTCTGCTTGATAGTGTCTCCTGCCCAACTGAAGAAGAATCCAAATAGCATCCTGCCTCCCCATGGTAAACCGGCTACAATGCCGCCTCTCGTCAATTGGAATCCCAATGCTTTAGTCAAGTACAGCATCAGCGAATTCTGATAAAAGAACAGCAGAAAAAGATTCCCGAAGTGGCATGTAACTAAACTGAGAAACGGCACCGACGTCATTATTTGCCGGCACGGCGTCTGCTCCCACTTGGGTTTTTCGGGGCGAACCGTTCCTGCTTGCATGCTGAAAGCAATCGCAATTGTATTTTATCGGTTCTTCACGGCATTTCGAAGGAACATCGAATAATTATCACATTCCGGCGACTCACGTTATAATGTATTCTTTCTCTTCGACGGTAATGCCAGGATGCTCGTTCGGTGAGTCGAAGGCGACTATTGCCCACACGCCGATCCACACTAACATCAGTATGGACGGTATGTACCAACCTGATTCCCAATTCATGCTCTCCGCGATACCGGCGATCATCGGGTAAGTGAGTATTGTGCCGAAAGTGCCGCCCAGCAAGGACCAGAGAAAGCGCGCCCGCTCATGCGGCGGCGCCCACTTGGCCACCATAGTGTGACACGAGGGAAAGATCACACCACCGGTGATACCGACGATGATCCGGGAGAACAGCAACGCACCCCAATGTAGTTGCGCAAGGATCGGACTCACCAGCGAGATTATCGCGGCCACCAACGACGTCCAGAGGACCGTCCTACGTGGTCCGTATCTCAGCGACAGCCAACCGCCGATGAAGTTGCCCGGTACATTGCCATAAGCATAGGCGGCGATCAGTTGGCCGCGCACTGTCGGGGTCCAGTCGAACGGCTGGCCGCTGAACAACTCGATGGGAGCATCCGGAGGTCGCGCTTCAATTTGACGACGGTGTAGTGACCGCAAAACTTTGTCGTCCTGCTCCTCCAAAATATAATTTTCCAGGTTACTGCCCGGATCGAGCAAGTTGAAGACATCGCGTCGCCGACGCGCACCGTCATCGACGAAGCATACGCCGTCGTTTGTAATGTTCCTCGGCGGCTCCCTGATCATTGGCACCACCAGGATCGGTATCTGCAGACGACATGCATAGCTGGTCCAACAGGCTGTGAACATCATCACGCAGATCCATATCCGCATCGGCATCCATCCTGCGAATGATAGATTAAGAAAAATGTTACAGGTGATCGTTTTTTCTGCTCTATAAGGATTTTTTAATCAAGATATTTCATAAAAAAAGTTAAATTTTGAAAGAGGAAGGAAAACAATACACTAAAAAAATAAGAAATTTTTTTATATATTGTTGCCCTTTCCTCTCGAAAACGACTTTTTAGAATGTTATCTGGAAAAGTTTTTTTTTATTCGGGGCATTAAAAAGGGAATAATCCACTTTAGCCTAATAACATTCGTTATATCTCTCTAATCACATTTCGACGTGATTGCTTCCGCAATATAATCCGCGCACTTACGTAAAAGTTTCCATATAAACGTCGGACGAACGTTGAGCACGTTTTCGCGCAACGCCCGCATTTAGGAATGCTCGAACAGGAAATGGAAAAATTTGCACTCGAGCCAGTTGACAGAATTGCGATACATTACCATGTCAACGGATTCGTAAACGATTAGGTTTTTTCATGTATCGCAGCGAGATTATTTGCGTTTTAAATTTTGTCGATAGGTTCAATTTATTAGAATCATTATCGCGCCATTTGCTTGTACACGCACACAAAAACGATTAAAAATTAGAAAAGATTATATTCGATTTAAAATTATGATTACAATCTAATTTTTTTCGTATTTTTAACTGCAAATTCATCACAATATTTTATGTGCACAAAAAATTCGAATCTTAAATTGTATCTGGTTTAATGATATTATTTTCGGTTGTGAATAATCGATCTTCGCACCTAACACAGCCGTGATATTTACAAATTGTTATTAGAATTGCTAGAATAAGTTATGACAACAGTTAATGAAAAGTTTATTCTGTAGGTGCATTATATTTCTTGGAACTCTGACGTCAGCAATAAAAATCGAGACGAATTTAGCCGTTGAGATAGAAAGATTCTCACACGAACCAGGAATAACTGGAAACCACCTGAAATTGCGAGTTCTTATATCTAAAAATTCTTACGTCAACACCTTGTTACATCCTTGTTAGAACAAGGATTTATTAAATATTTCTCGAAGTGCGAAACGCGAAATCTTTGCGAAACTCGAACATGTATATGAAAATTAAGTGAATAAATTATTACAAGATAAATATAAACTATGCACGGAAGGAACACTTTTGTTGAAAGATTTAAAAAATTGTGCCAGATACAGCATGTACCTGATATAATGCAAAATTAACAATTACAAAGAAACCGAAATCATATTGATTCTGCGATCTTTTTTTTAATTCTATATATTTTAAAATGTTTATAAGAGAACAAGAATGTGCTTGAACCAACACTTAGAACCACTTTTGAATTTGACTTCTACAATAGTAAAAATCAATATTAAATTCGTGAAACTTTTCAAGAAAAGTAAATTAGGCGATCGAGTAGATCTGTGCGCAACAAGGTTGAGTAACGGGCATTCAGAAACTGTGTAAAAATGCTAAAAGTAAAAGTAAATATACATCTAAAAGATCAACAAAATTTTTCCATTCATCTAGAATCGATTGATTGATAGAAATGGATTAATGAATTGTGAAATCCATAAATTCATAAATTTGATAAGATTCAAAATTCACAAGTGTCTTTTATTTCAGAATAACGAACAAAATATCAATTGTGAGTTTTTATATTTTGATCAAAGCGGAATCAATTTTGCAAAATAGAGTTAAAAATCCCAGAAGTACTAGTTTATTTTATATTGTATTATTATGTAGAAAAATAAAATTGTGAAATAGACGAAATGTTAAGGGACAAAAGTTTTACTAATATGACGATGACCGTTGAGAGAACCATGCGTATTACAATCTTTTGTAATACAAATTTTTGCTTTTTGCAGAAGATGAAACTGTAAGAAAATAAAAACTATATTCATGCAGCAATGGGATACTTCATAAATTGTGCAGTTTAACATTTGACGATGTAAGACAATTTCTGCGAAAAGGAATCAACAGAGGAAAATTTTACTTACGTGGTAAGACTTTATAGAATGATTTGTGTAACTTTTTAAGTTTTTCTACCATACTGCAATCTCAATTCAGGAATTTACAGCAACAGAAAGTCACACACTCAAATCTCACAAATTCACAACATTCTCGAGCATTCAATTTTGAAATTTTATTTTACGTCACAGAGTGAAAATTTGAAATGACCATTTGACTTTGACTGGTTGTGGCTCGTCTAGTTCTACAAGAGATGTAGCATCGAGACGTTGTATTTATACTCCCCTCTCTGGAAAAAGTAGAGATCAAGTAGGGAAGTATGTAAGGGTAGTGATCACTATTTAACGTTTTTCACATGGTACTGTATATTTAAAATAAAGTAAAGGATTCTTTAAGTCATTTCGAAAACAAAAAGCCAAATATTTATCTTGAATTAATCTTTCCTTTCCCAGAATTGAAATTGCATGTATAGTAAATAAAAGTTGCTGTAATAGCTCATAGTTGTTTAATGTTAAATTTACAAGAAGAACAAAAGAGAATACAGTTATACAAATTTACAAAATAGAAAAATGAAAATTATTTAGCTTCTAATGCAAAAGAAATGCAAATAAGTCGGTTTTATTCAGATTGTATATCGAACTTGTGTTAAAAATTGCAATTATTTATTATTGCAATAAACATAATTACAAAACAGCGGTTTAAAAGCAAAGGACCTATGTATCGATATAGCGCACATTTAGTGCTATTGACCGATTATGCAAACGTAAATCGCGCGTGCAAACATCAAGCATTCATCTGTGTGAATGGTGCGCCAGTTTATGTACGTTCCATTGTATTTCATAATATAGTGATTTATTTAGGTCTAGGTTAAACCTCGACCTAAAGAGGCAAATTTTGAGTCGATAAGAGCCGATAAATTTTATATTTATTTCAGCAAACCTAAGCAAGCAAGCAATCTAAGTTTGTATTATTTTTCAAGGAATCTGATGAAAAGGAACCAAGGAGATTCCAAGAAGACAAGAACATTCATGAATTTTCCAAGGATTATTACGTTTTACAATCTGCTCATTCTTTCGGGAGTTTTGTTAATCATTAATAACTATTTAATGACAAACAGGTATGAATATTTTACTTAATTAAATATTAATTAAATGTCGAAACTAACTACTTTCAAAGCGCACGATATTCTGTTGTCAACGGGCAACTGCCCATAATCAATATTTTCTCTTTCTCTTAGTATCTCATCTTAATATTAGTATATATATTAGAAATGCCATCATTTTTATGATTAGAGTTAATTTGGGTAAATTTGGGTAAATTTCGATAAAAAATTAAATTCTGATATTTTAAATATTTCTCTACGGTTATGATGCAAGGAAATTTTCTGACCAATTTTACAAGCATCGATATTTATCATTGTTTCCTGTAGATAGTCCATTTTATTTCCTGTTGCTTTTACATGAAGAGTATCTCGGACAGAAATTTTAAAATCATAGGTTTTTATCTTGTTATAAATCTTTTATGCATCGTTTCACCATTTTCATGGCAATGACATTCGCATTGCGAATCATCTTTTCGTATTTTGCTTTCTACCGGCTTTCTACTCATTGACTGCATCGACCAGCAATATTAACTTCGTTAATTTCTAATTCACGCTAATTTCCGAAATTTCATCCTATAGCGATTCCAAAAAAGATATGTATTACTATAATAAAAATGAGACAATGACTAATTGTGTTAGCATCTATATATAAAATAGAACTAATTTACATTTTTATTGCGTAAATCTTTTTCTTAGAAATTTATTAAAAGTTTTAATCGATTTTCTTAGGATCTTCTGACGATTATCTAATGTTTAATGTCTAATAACTATCTTTTTATACATAAAACTTATACTCATTCAAAAAATGTTGGTATTTTATATATTTTTAATTTATTTGTTTTTATTTAAAGTAGCATAGCAAAAAAATTATGTCCACTCTTGATGTTCCATTAGCAAATAATTATTAAATTAGGAAAGAAGAAAAATAGACAAACTTTGTAATCAATCTAATACGTAACACTTCTTTTGTTTTACAAATTGTCCAATATTCAAAATAGACTTTATTTAGAATTAAATTGACTTTGTTATGTAATTTTTTATTAATCATTTAATTTTTAATTTATATGCTTAGGTGATGTATTTTGAATCAATTAATATAACTTACATTACAGAAATTATATGGTTAAGTTTGTGCGTGATATGAATACGCATATATCAGCTTGTTTGCTTATCATCATTTCGTACTGACATTATGACGTACAACGGTACAACGGTCGAACATTCATTCTCGATTTGTGAGCTGCAACGAGTGAATTTTACGTTTCCGACGAACGGCGACAGTGTATATACCTGCTAAATCTAATTTGCTAAATTTTCATACAAATTTGGACGTCAAAATGAAGAACGGAAATCAAGTTTTGGCCGAGGCCTTGAAGGAACAGGTATTCTTGATATTTTTTTAATGATAATTTTATTGATGTTAATTCGTTTTTGGATTGCGAACTTATAGAATTGTTCGATGTTATCGGAAAACCCATGTATAAATTCCTTCGAAGAAACATTAAATTTAACGAACTCCAATTTTGTGTATAATGGTTCAAATATTTATGCAGTGTGTTTTGTTATGAATATCACACAACGATTTAAAGGTTATGGTCATCGGAGTGCATGAGTTTACATTCTCGCTACAGTTTTATCACGCTGACTTTATAATGAGTTCAAGATCAGATTTATTTTTTCTTCAGATCCACTAAAAGTCATTTTTCAATTTTATCCTATTCTATTTTTAAATTGATGTGTTAAATTCAATTTTTATTTTTTATCATATCCTTACGAGTGTTGATTTATTTCTTATATCTATAAAAAATTGTTGACGACTTTTGCAGTACAGTAATAATTAAAAATAAATTAGATGCATAATATTAATGAAAGCAATAATAGTTCTTATATAAGTTATATAAATTTTTAAGTTTGTGACGTTGAATAGAGATAATAATTCATTAAATGAGCAAGAATTTTAAATTCATGTTCGAAAAGCTGAATAATAAAAACATTTGATTAAACAATTATGACAGTGACTATTAGAATAAACAGAGAATAAAACAATGGTATAATTAATTTTGCAGCGTGCTTATCAGAAATCAAATTCGTGTAGCGCGAATGCAGCTCTTATCACGATTATATATACTTACGCTTTTTTCGCGATGCAATTAACGGTGTGCGCTCACCGCACTCTTGATTCATGACGGATTTTACGATCGATTCACTGTACATCCATCGCGTCGAAGCTACTGCAGCAAGTGCAGAGTCTGCCTCTTATTTTCATTTCATCCGAGTGTGTTATCAATGGATGGATAAATATATGTTGCATCACATGCCACGATCAATGAACTTTTAGCTCAATGTTTTTTAGCTAAAATAAATACATACGAAAGGGGAAGATTAAGAATAAATGCAGCAGTAATTGACTATATAATGGCTTAGCCTTAAGTTTATTTTCAAGCGCATCTAATTATCTATTATTAATTTTTCTCATTTAATTGTGAAACATTTTAAATTACATATTTTATTAATATAAAAGTGTAAGAAAAAATACATCATATACAATATATTTAATTATATGCAAAAATATATATTTAACAATGAATATTCTAGAATAATATTTTCTTGTGCGTATATTGTGTTTTCAATAAAAATTTTATGATTGTTTAGGGTTTAACGTATGTCTTTGGGATCATGGGCCATCCTGTGATAGATTTGGCTTTAAATATGCAAGCCGTCGGCTTGCAATACTTAGGTTTTAGGAATGAACAAGCTGCCTGTTATGCTGCACAAGCTTATGGATATTTAACGAGTAAGTATCATTGCGTCCCTCGATAGATAATCAATTATTCCAATATTAACATATTGTCAAGTATTATTCATATGTATTTGTTTCTATTATTTATGTGCTATTATTTAAAAAAAAAACGGGTTTTTATTAGTTTTTATTTTCTAACAGAAGTAAAATTACGTTAACAAAAAATAAAGAGTTAATATAGAAATTAAGTAAAATAATATTGCAAAGAATATAATAAAATAAAAACAATAAAAAATATATATAATATTAGCAATTTCTTATACAGGAAAACCCGCAATAGTGTTATGTGTCTCTGGTCCGGGGTTGTTACATGTTATTGGCGGTATGGCGAACGCGCAAGTAAATTGTTGGTGAGCAAAATTGGTCAGCATAATACGCGATTTTTATTGCTAGATCGTGTATGTGTGTGTAAAAATATATATTATATAAGAATACGTAATACATAGTATCTTTATTACGAAGCAAATACAAGCGTATGTGGAATGCAGTTTAAAAAATATTTAATTTTTTTTTTGTTTTGTTGTTTTTTTTGCGGATGTGCGCGACAAGTTCGTTGTAATTTTGTGTCGCGTGCCTAGAAAATTATCGTGGAAATTGTTCATCCAACTGTCATCTGACATTTGATTGCGATCTTGTAGCATTGATATTACGACAATGCAGCAAGGCAATTACGTTATTATGTCCTGTGGATTTTTCCTAATAAAAACAAGACTTGGACATGCAACGAATATCTTTTTTTTATAAAAAAATCCACGAAATAAAATAAATCAAGAGAAATTAATTTATATAAAATTGGATGTTTAATTGTCAAAATCAGAAATTGATTTTAAAATTGTTATAGAGATTTCTTGTTATTCGCTCTTTATTCAAGATTTGTGATTTTTCTTATATTTTCTAGTCAGAATTTATAACGGTGAAACGATAAGCTTTTATCCTAAACAATCAATTATTTTTTGGCAGGCCTGTGCTCGTGTTAGGAGGGTCTTGTCCGGAGGACCACGAAGGGATTGGCGGATTCCAAGAATGGCCACAGGTCGAAGCAAGCAGACCTTATTGTAAATATGCAGCAAGACCGCCGTCAGCTGTGCTCATACCGACACATGTTGAAAAGGCTGTGCGACTTGCCACTTATGGTAGACCAGGTAGGATTTTTTTTGACATTTTTTTTTACGACTTCTAGGATAGGTTCTAGATAATAGAAAAAATAAACAAGAATAATTAATCGTGATAAGGGAACGGAAATGTACAAGGGAGACGTATAATAGAAAATATTATAGAGCTGTGATAAATGAGATAAGATAAGAAGAGTTCAGAAAATTTTGAAAATTCAAAAGAATGCCTTTGACGCGCTACAATCTTTTCAAAACCATATCTCCGACTCGTATTCAATTATTATTACAAATTATAACATAGAAAATTGTGTTGCGAAAAGTTTTAATAAAAAATTGAAAAAAATCTTTAAGGAAAGAATAACTAATTATTTAGCCCATCTTTATCAAACATCGTATAAATATATTTATATTTTCTATAATTTTATATTTTATATTATATTCCACTACTTACAGGCGCCGTTTATCTTGATTTACCCGCTACATTATTAAATCAAAATGTAGACGAGAGTAAAATAGTTAAGGTTTCACCGTGCCCACCACCGCCACTATCCTATCCTGATACGAAATTAATTAAACAAGCAGCAAATTTATTGATAAGAGCGAAGAAACCTTTGGTAATAGTTGGCAAAGGTAAATGTACATAAGATTTGCATGGATAGAAAATTTTTACCCTAATTATTTTTTGCTTTTACACTTTGTATTTTCCATAGGAGCTGCTTATAGTCGAGCTGAAGATCCAGTGAGACAGCTCGTCTATTCGACGAATATGCCTTTCTTACCAACGCCGATGGGTAAAGGCGTTGTACCTGATTCGGATGAGCGTTGTGTTTCTAGTGCGCGAACGTATGCTTTACAACATTCCGACGTGATTTTACTGTTAGGTGCTAGATTGAATTGGATGTTGCACTTTGGACGATCACCCAGGTTTCAAAGCAATGTCAAAGTCATACAGGTACTTGATGCATTTTTTGATAGTATAACGATGGTAAAAGGTTTTAAGTAACGCGTGAAAAAAACTTATTTCTATTTTACATCTCCATTTTTTATCATCTAGCAAAATTAAAAGCTGAACCTTTTATGAAGATCACCAAGATGCCAAACAATAAGTCTTTTGCATTAGGTTCTAAGTTTTTTACGTTAATATAAAACTTTGTAGATAGACTTATGCGCCGAGGAATTGCATAATTCCGTACCTTCCGCTGTTGCAATACAATCCGACATTGCGCCCGCCACAGAATATTTGATGAACACATTGAAAACTCAGAAATGGTGCGTTGATCGAAACGATCCGTGGTGGAAGGATCTTGCAGCAAAAGCTGAGAAGAATAAGCAACTAGTTCACGTGAGTATTAATTTAATCAGAAATTGAATAAAATTATTTTTTTGCGTAATTTCCACATTTTCTTTGCACAGCGGATGTCATTAGATACCAGTGTGCCTCTGAATTATTATACTGTCTTTAAACACATTCAAGACGTCTTGCCGAACGGTGAGTTGTATTATATACGTATTTCTGCATATAAATTTCGTCGAAGGTGTAAAATATATTTTGTTGAATGTTTTGCAGATTGTATTATTTGTTCCGAGGGAGCTAATACAATGGATATCGGACGAACCGTTCTTTTAAATAATCTGCCACGCCATAGACTGGATGCTGGTACATTTGGCACTATGGGCGTAGGACTTGGATTTGCGATTGCGGCTGCCCTTTACTGCAAGGATAACGCACCAAAAAAAAGAGTAATTTGCGTAGAAGGAGACAGCGCTTTTGGATTCTCTGGGATGGAGATTGAAACCATGTTTCGGTAATGTGTCTCGGAGAGTAATTAAAAGAGAAGTCGTTATTTTACGCGCGAAAAATATCAAATATAATTACACTGACTTTCTTTTCGCAGATATAAACTGCCGGTGATTATTATAATTGTGAATAATAACGGTATATATGGCGGTTTCGATAGTGAAACTTTTAGACAGATACAGTCGTCTGGAGATCCTACACAAGTGTACGCATTTTTGTATCTTCGTATATTAAATATCAAAAATTAGAAAACTTATATTTTTATTATATACATTTTTTCTAATGCTTGTATATGAAGCTATATATTTATATATAAAATATTAAAATTATATTTTTCAGAACACCTCCAAATTCATTGTCATCCGAAACTCATTATGAGAACTTGATGCAAATGTTTGGCAAAAAAGGACATTTTTGCACTACCGTGGAGCACATTCAACAGGCGTTAAAGCTATCTCTAAAGGTAAAACTGTTACCAAGTTGACTCTTTAAATATTGAAATGCAAAATGCATAAATTATAAAATATTGTTTTAGGTAATGGATAGTCCTAGTATAATAAACGTTATGATTAATCCGCAAGCGGATCGTAAGCAACAGCAATTCAGTTGGCTAACAGAATCAAAGTTATAAATATATGCGATATAAGATTGCTAAAATCAGTGAAGGTATATCTATAATTTAATCTTTTCTATAAAATATAAATACATATAAATACATCTATAATTTAATCTTTTCTATAAAATATAAATACATAATATAAAATTTCTTTTATTATTAATTAATATTATCAATGTAAAACAATAAGAGTAGAGAATTATAGAATTATTTATATATATTTTTATATATAATTATCTCATAATTTTGAAAATATTTAAATTATCAAATAATAAGGCAGAAAAGAGTTTATTTGTATATATGTGTATATAAATATGTAAAAATATAAAATTTATAATACACAAAAAAAATAGTTAACCCAACATTTATATGGTTCAAGTACAGTTGATTCAGAAACATTGACATCATAACATTTTGGCCCAATTAAGCGCCTGCCCTAATTATCTGAACTTTATAATTTATCTATTAAGATTTGTTTTTCAAAATTTGTTCCAAATTGGTTGCCTCGATTAATCAGAATCGACTGTATTTATATTGCCTGCTAATTGTTCTGTAATTGTGCAAGTTCTGGCTGTCAAAGATGCAATTAATTCCACATTTGATTTCAACCAGGGTTCCTGCCTTTCTACAATTTTGCTTGCGTCAATAATCTTTTGCGTAACCATTCCCATTTCTGTAACTTGCTTAGATAATGTTTTATTTGCCATGTTAACCATTGTAATTAAGTGTCCATTTTCCTTCACAAATTCTTCAATATCTTCTGCCTGCCTTTTCCTGAAAGTTAATTGCTTTAATTTAAATATTATTTGAAAATTATAAGAACCTTACATATCTAAAGTAATATTATTGAGAGCAATCAATATCCTTTGAATGTCTTTTCTCTCAATGTTAACTTCTGATTGAATACTGGACATATTGCATATGTGTTCAGATTATTTATATTTGTCTGTAATTGAAGTTATGTGTTAATTATCAGTCAAATAAACATAATAAATCACTATATGCATACTCACTGCGTATTTGACAAAACTGACTTTTAACTGAATAAAGCCTATAAGCCGAGCAATATAATAAAGAAAATTTATCTGGATCGCGTTTTTCGAAGGAGCATAAGAGAGCTGCTATTCGTAAAACGTTATATTTATAAGCATATATCTCTAGTTCGTTCTTTTTAACTGCATTGGGACTGTGACATAGGTTGCGTTCCGTTTCGCACATTATGCGCACGAATTACATAGAAAACGTTCCGTTTCACTCAATGCGCGCATGAACAGCGCTTAGAATTCCCTAGATCCCCACCACCTGCAGCGCATAATACACGCATCAGCTACCTCAAGTTTGAGTTGCAGCAGCTTATTGGCCGGAGCACAGACTTTTGCATAAAGCATAACGCATAAGACAA